TTAGTGATTTATTCGAAGAGAAAACAATCAGTGATGGAAAAAGCAGTTGCGGGTGGATCACTTTAGGGCTCTTGACACCGCCCGATTGATTGTGACGATAGCAACCGTATATCCTATAACCCAGATATGGGGTGGGCGTTTCTGCGTACTGCCTTTCCTCCACTACGTGGGGTCTTGAAATGAGACAAAGCTGCTAGTTATGCTTGTAAGTTCAACCAAGCCTCGTTGCTTGTTTCAGGGCGCTCATTGGGTTGCTGACTCGGCCAAGGATACTCTCCACACTACGGAAGAGACCGCGAAGAAGGTAACATCATTCAGAGACTGTTTCTGGCAGCTATATCCTGAGAAATCTTAGCGTACGGTTTCAGGGTGCTGGCTGGGTAACTGAAACTGCCAAGGATACCTACAACGTTACCGCTGAAAAAGTGGCTGAGGTAAACTTTTCCTTTCTATCCTTCTTCTTGGTATAAGAAGTAATATTTTCATAGAGGTTGCTGAAATAGCCGAGAATTCCTATTCTTCAGGGTGCTGACTGGGTTGGTGGTACCGCGAAAGACGCCTACAACACAACTACTGAGAAGGTCTCCGAGGTTGGTAAAGCGCATTTTTCCGGTGACAAAATATCCAAATAATTGGACCACAGCTAAGATTGACCTTAGCTCTTTCCCCGTTATAGCCTCTGGAGCATTGAGTGCTGAGAAACTCTCGTGAAACGCCAAAGAAAAATCGGCGCTAATAACTGGTCATTCAAAGGGCTTTATCACTACAGAGAGGGTAGTAGTAATTGAACAAACATGGGGAGAGGGGGGGGGGAGTTAAAGGACTGCTTTCGCGAAACTAATATTCTTGTAACCGAGGTGAACACTTTGCCTGAGAATAAAGGGGTAGGAGCGCTTGGGTCGGTGAACCAATTTCCCCATTGCCCAACGGCAGGCCGTGCCCTGCTTATGTTAGACTTAGCAAGTAAAGAGTTATCTTTTCAGACAGTTGGTTGGGTTGGCGATAAAGCTCATGATGCGTACGATGCTTCCGCCAATAAGGCATCAGAGGTACGGATTCTCTGCTTCAAGCTGCAATTAGGAATAAATAGATCATTTTAAATGCGTAGAAATAACTTGACCGATCACTATGAAAAAAATTCTGTGGTTAATGAGGTGTAGAATTACCGCACCATATCCCTTGGAGGGGTCACCATTCAACAAGGCTAAGTCACGTCATGTCTTGAGGTCTGCGTCCTCCGACCGAGAAGGCTTGCCATTTTCTGAACTAGAGCTAGATTTCAGCCACCTTGCTCTCCCTTGTCACAAAAAGAATAGAGGCGGAGTCAAACTCTATCCTTTTTGTGACAATGGAGAGCGAGGTGGCTGAAATCTATCTCTCCCTTGTAGTTTTTCAAGAAGCGGCCCCTCCTAAATGACATGATTAGTAGGAGGTTGGTTGTTTCGCACCGTGAGCTAATTTTTGTTTCCTTTGCATGTTTCCTACTACTTAGTAGAACCCTCAGTTTCATTTGTCCTCACTAGAGGGTAGGCTAAACCACGTCAGCCTCCGTCCGCCTGTGACCTCTCGGTGAGACAGTGCGACGTGGTTTTGTTGCGTCAGAATAAGCCCTGGTTAAGTCTCACTAAATGGTGGGTCCTCCCAAGGCACACAGCGCCATATTTACATTTCATTAAAAGCAGAATGTTTTCAGCTGGCTCACTCTGCAGGAGAAGCCGTCGACAGCACCACTGCCTACGTTGGAGACAAAGCACATGATGTAAAAGAAGGCGCCAAAGAGGTTAGCGCCACGTTCTTCGGGCTGCATCCCTCTCTAGAGACCGTGACAATTTCCATAGATAGTTCTTCATCTACTGAAAAGTAAAATGCTCAAAAAGGTTCCTAAAACTATCGCCTAAAGGCTGAACGGAGCTGGTTCAAAAAATGGCGACGTTTCGTGCCAAAATTGGTTACACTGTGCTGTATAAGGTCATCTTTTTCAGACAGCTGGCTGGGTTGGCGATAAAGCTCATGATGCGTACGATGTTACCACCAATAAGGCATCAGAGGTAAGGATTCTTTGCTTCAAGCTGCAAAATTTTAATGGACCATTTTGGAAGCGTAGGACTTTCTTTTCAGCTGAAACATTCTGCGGGTGACGCTGTTGACAGTACAACTTCCTATGTTGGAGACAAAGCACATGATGTAAAAGAAGGCGCCAAAGAGGTTAGCGCCACGGTTCTTCGGGCTGCATCCCTCTCTAGAGACCGTGACAATTTCCATAGATAGTTCTTCATCTACTGAAAAGTAAAATGCTCAAAAAGGTTCCTAAAACTATCGCCTAAAGGCTGAACGGAGCTGGTTCAAAAATTGGCGACGTTTCGTGCCAAATATGGCTGCGTTTATACTTTGCGGCAGCGTAGCGTAGCGTAGCGCAGCGTAGCGTAGCGCTTCCAGCGTACGCCAGCGGCAGTGCCGAAGAGAGGATGCATATCGATCTAGCTTCACCAGCGTCACCAGCGGCACGCTGGCGTACGCTAGCGTACGCTAGCGTTTCTCCAGCGTTTCACCAGCGTTTTGCTAGCGTTTGCAGCGGCAGGGGAGTAGAGACTATGTGGCCGTGAGAGACGCGGAATCGACGTGTATTGTAGAGACCATGTGGCCGTCGGAGACGCAGAAGCGATGTGCATTGTAGAGACTATGTGGCCGTCGGAGACGCAGAAGCGATGTGCATTGTAGAGACTATGTGGCCGTCGGAGACGCAGAAGCGATGTGCATTGTAGAGACTAAGGGCGAGTGAGAGACGCGCAATCGATTTGTTTTGTATCCTCCAGCTCTCCCATAGTCTCTACTCCCCTGCCGCTGCAAACGCTAGCAAAACGCTAGTGAAACGCTGGAGAAACGCTGGCGTACGCTAGCGTGCCGCTAGCGTACGCCAGCGTGCCGCTGGTGACGCTGGTGAAGCTAGATCGATATGCATCCTCTCTTCGGCACTGCCGCTGGCGTACGCTGGAAGCGCTACGCTACGCTGCGCTACGCTACGCTACGCTGCCGCAAAGTATAAAATTGGCCTATCACTGCGCTGTATAAGTCATCTTTTTAGACAGCTGGCTGGGTTGGCGATAAAGCTCATGATGCGTACGATGTTACCGCCAATAAGGCATCAGAGGTAAGGATTCTTTGCTTCAAGCTGCAATTAAAATTAATGGACCATTTTGGAAGCGTAGGACTTTTTTTCAGCTGAAACATTCTGCGGGTGAAGCTGTTGACAGTACAACTTCCTTTGTTGGAGACAAGGCCCATGATGCAAAAGAAGGCGTCGAAAAGGTTAGTGCCATGGGTTTTCGGGCGCTATGCTGTTTTCGGACATGCAGACGGATTCAGTGGGTCAATTCGTTAGTTGAATCCTACACCGCTTTCGAATGCTTTCGAATAGCACTGTGTAATCCTGGGATGCAGAGCTAGATCTAGCACACATAAGGACGGAAAGTCCCCAGAACCAGAATGAGGGAGCGGGGAAGTCCTTGGAATATCCTCGTGTTCCCACTTTCCCGATATTTTTATTGCTACCCGAGACAGTAGTTTTTTGGGTCACCAATAGCTACATTGGGCGCAGATCGGCTTGGAGGGGGTTCTCCGCGAGGTTTGTAAAGCCATCTTGTGGAGATCTGTTAATTCCTATGACTAAATTGGCTCTCTTACTTCATCTCTCGGCTTCCCAAAAGTTTACAGGTGTTAACCTGTTAGTTAACATATATAAGCAAAAAAAGTAGATGCAATGCAAAATGCCCCCTCTAGGACGAATAGCGCCACTACCTTTGATCAAGTGACTTTCAGGTAGCTTCTGGCGCTTTCGGTTTCGTGAAAGGCACGTTCGCCCAGGGCAAGGACAAGGTAGAACACGCTAAAGATAACGTTAAAGAGGTCATTTTTGTGCTTTTTTCCCAATACAGTGCCTCCTCTAGGCCGTTACGCTAGGCCACGGAGTTGTGGGGGCAGGTCAGGAGATCCGGATTGCGATACGCAGATTAGCTTGCTGTAGCACTTTCGGTTCAAATCGATTGCTACCATATTCGAAAGCCGCGAACGAAACTTCACCTGCATTGCGCAACCTGGATCTCCTGGACAGCACCCGGAGACAACACCCGCACAATATAGTTTTACAGGCAGCCGCTGACGCAGCGGATTCGACAAAGCATGCCTTCGAAGGGGCAAAGGACAAAGCTTCGGAGTTGGCCCACGATGTTGAATCAGTTAGTTACTCTGTCTTGCTTACCACTAGAAGTTTTGAGCTCATGGGAGCTTCTTGGTTTGACTGCTGCTGTTGTAGGCGGGCAAGGATGCAAAGGAGACAGTGGTAAAGGCTGCTGACAACGCTTATAAGACCGCTGCAGAGAAAGCTGAGGATTTGAAGAGCGATGCTGAAAAGGTAGGGTTTTGTAACGACTAGGTTACTATTAGACTATTTCTACGCGTATTTTATTGAAAAGGAGGGCTGCTGGTGTTTTCGTTACAGTAGAAGTCTTGACAATGGCCGGACTATAAGTTAGCTGGCCTGACACTCTGTAATCGGGCCAAAACACAACTAGGTACCCTGCGATCCTAAGTGTAGGTGGATTGCGTGGTGCATCCCCAGACTTTAATGATCAGCGCTGAATTCCTCACACCTTATGTTTCATTCCCACTGAGCGTAGGTCCTGCCGTTGGGTGAAATTCTTGCGAATAAGGTCTTACAAGAGGTCTTTTGTTACGAAGTTCCCCCCCCTAGTGCGACCGCCTCCCCTCTCCATCTTATCTAGGATCTTCCGAAATTCCCCACTTTTCCGACGTTGGTTCCAAAATCCTTCCAGTCATCCCAGAAAAATTGCCGCTGAGCTAGCAGAGGGATGTACGGCCATTTTATTACGAAAAAAACCAAGAGAATTCAACATACGAAATATTCCTGCGGAGGCCGACACAACAGCCCCCTCCCTTCTCTTCAGGCACCCCTCTCGCTGGAGATTCCCAACGTGCACTGTGCTCAGCAATCCCTTGAAGGACTTATATACAGGGGGGGGCCAAAAAAAAGTCATTTTGCCTCCATGACTTTCAAGGCGCTATAAGTTACACTTTATTAAATTTTTATCGGACATTTTTACTACCATATTAAAGAGCACATTAAATACTATAATGATACTCCGCCACAGCCTTCTGGAGGAGCGCCATCGAGAGATTCGGCCGCGCAAAGTGAGTGGGTACCGGAGTTGAGCGAGATCGTTGATTTCTCCGCCACTGTAGACCACCCTGTTGAGCCCACCAACCGATAATTGAGGGGGTTTAGTTCAGGACCCCCGCTTAAATACTCCATCTTTTCCAGGTACTCAACGTTCTTCCATTCCAAGTAGGCGAAAGTTTTTCCAACGCCCTTCGATTCCACGTGGTGGCACCCAATGCTGTAGCAGTACAAAGTTTCCAAGAAGGTACGGGCGACGACATGTGGGAATATTCTTCTTGAGTTGGTCGATGTAACCGCCAGCGCTCAGCTTCAGCCCGGGGTCCACGAAGAAAATATCGGTCTTTCCATTCCAGGTACGGCCGGTCCACACCATCAACCCGCGCCTTGGTGAATGGGGTGAAGATGATGTCCTGGACCGTAGCGACGTTGCCGGAGCTGCTCGATGTTTGAGGTCTTGCAGATCAAGAGTACTGGTCTCCAGGTAGCTATCCATGGGTGATTCCATTCAAGAAGTTCCGCAGCTGTTTGGAGGCCACGTGAATTCCAAAGGCGTTCTCCACTCAGGCCGCGACTGGAGATGACTTCATATTTTGGTGTACATGAAGGTGAATGGCGGCAGCCGGCTCCTGCTTATAGAGGAAGATCTTGGGTATCTTCCGCCCTGGTACTCATATCCACTTCCTCTGTCTGGGCTGCGAAAACTTCGCTCATATGTGACTCGGCCGGAATGACTTTTTTTTTTGGCCCCCCTGTAGTGCTGACAACGGCATTGTAGACACCATGAACAGCTCAATTTTTAATGGTCATTGTGGGCCCGCCGCATCCTGCCATAAGCGCTTTACAGCGTAGGCACATTGGAGGAGAGCGAAATGACCACAAATATTTGATATAAGACACGCCCACTGCGGGTGTTTCCCCCTGACATCGTTAAGTAGCCATGGTCGGCTGGGAATTGTTATTTTGGGAAGGGCTGGCAGATTGGCAATTAGGCGTCTCTGGGAACAGGGTACAGGACCGTTAGAAAGGGACCGTACCTGGTCGTTGGCGAGGGGGTTGTCTTTGGCCTGGACTTTTCCAGTTTAGGTTTTCGACTTTCACCAGCTTTTCCCGTTCCATTTGTGTTCATGTACACCCTTCTCGTCTCTCCGCGTCTCCAGCTTTTTTCGAAAAACTGGAAAATTCTATGGAAAACCGTAAAATAAGTGGGGAGAAGAGCTGAGAAAACTTGGATAGTAGGTATATGATGAGAAGGATGTCATACCAACGAGTATTTGCGGAGTGGATCGTCGACTACGCCACTTCTTCCATCCTGATGCTTGTGCCCTATATGGCAAACTTGGGAGAGAGATTGCTGCAGCTTCCATGAGTTTTCTCCATCGAGATCTGAAGAATCCGTAAGCAAACGGCTTAGGCCCCATCTCCAGCTTTTCGCTTTTCTTTTCGGTTGTACCTTTCTATTTGTTTCCTTTCTGCTCCGCTAAGGCCGCGATCATACTTTGCGACTCGAGCGATTGAACCTAACGATTTTTATTTTGCGACCATTAGCACTCCGCCGCAGATCGTTGGACCATTACAATTGCAGGTCCAATCACATCTGAGATGGAGCCTTGCAGCGGTTCAGTGATTAGCTGTGGAGCGCGATCGATCATGGTGCCCCAATGCCCAACTTTATTAACTGATAAGCTTAGTCGCGAAGTATGAACGCTGTCTCTCACTCAGCATCTTATAAGAGCTAAAAGCGGGGAAGGCACGCGTAGACTGCTCGGGCTCCGTACCAGCATGTTTGGGCTCCGTACCAGCTCTCTTTGTCAAACCTATGGGTTTTCTTTCTGTATGGGAGAACAGATTTTCAACAAAGATGTTTTTGAAAGAACACTTTCAGATCGCTTCTGACGCGAAGGATTCCGCATCTCACGCAGCAGAAGATGCGCGCAAGAAAGCAGAAGAATTGATGGGCGGTGTCGACAAGGTAAGTTCTATTACGGTAACTCTTATAATGCCCTAGTCTCGATACCTCATGAGTCCTGCTCAGGTCGCAGGCCGGACTGTCATGCCATGAAATTCTTTCCATTGAGGTATGACGTGTGAAATGAATCCTTTCAGGCAGCCCAAGACGCAAAAGGACTCAGCTGCCCATGCCGTTGCCCGTGCTAAGGATAAGCTTTCCGAGTTGAGCAGTGAAGTTGAACAGGTATTAGCGACTTCATTGATTATTCGGAAAAGTCATCCTTTGATACTTTTGTTATCTGACGGTCTTTTGGGGAGAAAGTTGGGTCACGAAGTAGGAGCGATGGAAAGGAGTAGTATCCCTCTTCAAAAGTCATCAGCCAGGTCTTGTTTTCAGACTGCGCATGACGCTAAAGAAGCTGCGGCTGAAGGTGTCGAAGATGTGCAGGAAAAAGCGAAAGGCTGGACCACGTTCGCTGCAGAGGTATATAGTCCTCGACGCAAATGAATCTCGCAGAATCTATTTCTTTTCTAGGCCGCCGGTGATGCCAAAGACTCTGCGGCACATGGTCTAGGTGATGCCAAGAATAAGGTTGCCGGCTGGAAAGACGACGCGAAGGACAAGCTGTCAGAGTGGGGTAGCGAAGCTGAGAAGGTGAGATTACCTGATATTGCAACTAAAAGAAAGCAGTTCCTGACTATAACTTCTTTGACCAATACTCATACTTGGTTTTGGCCCCGACCATCGCACTTATGTCCTCATTATTTTCCTCCGCCTGCTAATTTCCTACCTTTTTCAGTTTTTTCCCTTTTTTCCCTCTTTTGGAACAGGTTTACAAAGTTTTAGGAATTTTCGTGGCAGGCGCCACTCATTTGGAGTACGCCTCGTCCACTATAAGCGTCTCTGCCTCATTCCGTCCGGCCACACATTTTCTATCGTTTTCCTTTTTTCACTATCCGTTACTCTCCTGGAAATAAACGACGAATCTTTGGAATCTTTTGGTGGCTCTTGATCAAAGGCACACCCCGCCCACAGTGGGTGGGGCATAGATTCGCTTGTGTTGTTCCTTACGTCTTACTGCCCACATCCTACAAATTCCACTATTTACCTGACCCAGCATAGAACACTTTTCCCGACACACAGACAGGCGGGGCCGATCATTTATTATAAGGTAAACATTTTTGTGAATCTGGGTCGAATCCATTTTTTCTTCTAGGCCGCCTACGATGCCAAAGACTCCGCGGCACATGGTCTAGATGATGCCAAGAATAAGGTTGCCGGCTGGAAAGACGACACCAAGGAGAAGCTGTCAGAGTGGGGAAGCGAAGCTGAAAAGGTGAGAGTACCTGTTGGTGGAAATATAGGAAAACAGTTTCTACCGACAAATTCTTTAACGCTACGCGAATGTATGAATTCAGTCCCGCCCACCGCGGGTATGTCCTTCTCATTTCTTCCGCCTACTCATTTACTATCGTATCCCACGTTTTCTGCTCTCCGGGCTCTTCTGAAACCGAGTTACAAATTTTTGAAGCTTTTGTGGCAAGCGCCGCCCATTTGGTGTGCGCCCCATTCCTTGTAGGACTCATCTCCTGCTTTCGTTCGTTTCCTATTGTTTCCCTTTTTTGCCTGCTCGCCGGACCAATTAACAAATTTCTGGAATAGGCTCCTCGTTAGGGGCTCTGGCTACAGTGGGCGGGCCTAGCTTTGTTCATATGTATTCCGTACATCTTGGTCCACGCCCTACCCTACCCACTTGGTCCTTCCCCTCAAACTGACTCTGCAAGTAGTGCCAAGCAGACAGACAGACGAAGCCGTTCGTGTACAGTAGGATAGCAGTTATCCTTACGAAGTTAAATCTTGCCCGAATCCGTACTTTTTCTAGACCGCCTACGATGCTAAAGACTCCGCGGCACATGCTGTAGACGATGTTCAGAAAAAGGCTGCCGACTGGAAAGACGATGCCAAGGATAAGCTTTCAGGATGGGGCAGCGAAGCAGAAAAGGTGAGCACTTATTGCTGAGAGTAACTGAAAGCAGTTTCTGATGATAATTAATCGATGAAACCATCCAAGTTCCTTTCTCAAGGCAGTCGGAGACTTCAAAAAGCTAGATATTCCATAGGAGTAGTTGTACTAGAACTACAAAAAGATAGAAGCCTGCAGAAAAGCTCATTCGGGTTGGCAGGCTGTCCACGACGCCAAAGACTGCGCGGCACATGCTGTGGACGATGCTCTGAGGAACAGTTTTCATGGCCCATCCTCCGGGCTATTCCTTAGCCGATACGCGAATATTCCGTTTTAGCCCCGCCTGCAATTATGTCCCCTCACTTCGCTAGCCTACTCCTTTCCTATGGTTTCCCACATTTTCTACTCTCCTGGCTCTTCTGGAGCCAAAAGATGGTTTTATAGCATAGCTGACTGGATCAAGAGCACGCCCCGCCCCAGTGGGAGGAGCTTAGCTTTGTTCATATGTGTCGTCTTATAAGTCTTGGTCCATGCCTCACCCGTCCAATACTTCACCTTGCCCCTCAGACTGGGTTTACAAACAATGCCGAATTCCCAGGCAAGCAGTCTATGGATAAAATATTCCCGCTGCAAAGTGGAATCTCGTTTGGATGCATTCTTATTCTAGGCCGCCCATGATGCCAAAGATTCCGCTGCGCATGCTCTAGGTGATGCTCAGAAAAAGGCTGCCGACTGGAAAGACGACGCCAAGGATAAGCTGTCAGGATGGGGTAGCGAAGCTGAAAAGGTGAGATTACCTCTTGCTGGAAATAAACG